TTGCTACATATATTTCTAACTGACACCTGAGTAACAAAATATAGAGACGTGGCTAACTGAGACGTAAATCTAAACAACATGGAGTATGCCATTTCATGGAATGTTTATCCCACCCCTCAAAATTGGCTGACCGAAAATATCGATTTACTATTTATTTATTAAACAGAAGTAATAGAAATTACGTCAAGACAGTTATTAATTACTCGGGCAATAAGTCAAAACAAAAATAATTCTCATATTTACATACAACTACATATTCGAATCCTGTGCTATACATGCCGTGCCAGGTCCGGATAGAGCTTCGTCTATCTGTGTCGCCGCAGTGCAATCCTATTCGCAAAACAGTAAAATGTCTGTTGACCGGCCCGTGAAACTAACTAAAAGAAAACATTCTTCGATTTCGGCCAAACAAAAAACCTTTTGGGGGACGATTACATGATATATGTTACTTGACAGAACTTGTACCCGTTGTGTCTTCCTTCTTAAATATATTTTGGATCGTCTCTGGTATAAAAAATGTATTCAAATGCCATGCAATTTACGTCAGAAGATGAATGATACTGTCCTTACCCATTTATGTGTTTGGGGTCGACCATTTAAAATCATGGGGGATGTTTGGAAGATTCGTTTTAAAAGTAACACACCGAAAAATGCCGAAGAGTAAACATTCAAGAAAACTAGGAATGTTCAGGCAAGACACCGCAAAAAATAATGCACTGGTTATGCTCTTCTAGCCTAAGCCCCACCATTATTTAATATGTTTGACCTCCAGGTCTTAAATATGTAATGCATACGACTTTAGCTTTCATGTAGTACTAGTTGCACCGATGATATTATCAGGCAGTAAGTTTATAGTTTCGTATTTGACTGTCTAAATGAAATGTTTAAACATTCGAATTCTTCCAACGTCTCAGTTTCACGCAGCGTCCGTTTTGATATTCAGCGATCGGGAATGATATTTGAATAGTTGGTTCTAAATCATAACTTGCTAATTATTAATTTAACTTTAACCAATGTGAATAATTTGTGTTTTCAATTTGCATTACAATCATATCAATATAACCCAGTCTTAAAGCGCGGTATTCGTCGTGCTGCGCATGTGTGACTCATGTGTTGATAAACATTGATTTTCTCACAATCCAATGCGCTCTTCAAATGGAAATCACAAGTATGAGGTTTGACTTTGGCGCGATTTGCACTTATTGCCACCGGTAACTCCTTCGATACCTTCCAATAACATAAGAATTACTTAATTAAAGCTTGGAAACGTCCCAGTTCGTACTTATTCATCTTCGCAACAGTCAAAGTCGCCATCTTTGTTTATATGAGACCCATATATCTCGCACATGCGCGCAGCGCGACGACTACCGCGCTTTAAATAAAACCCCCTCCAAAGTTTACATACAATACAAGTCTTTAACTTGTACAAGTAGTAGGAACAATGAAGAGTTCATAGCCAGTACATCCAATATCTGTGTTGGATTTCGTTGTGACTGTTTTAATTCAATTTTAAAACAATTTTTTTTATAGAACAAAATCAAGCATGCGTCGAATTACCGAGCGCCAGTACTACGGGTAAGTAGTTTTGCAGAAACATTTAACATCAGGTATCATTGTTTCACCAGCCCAATAACGCGTTTATAATGAATAGATCACGACCTCGCAGTAACAAAACATTAACGCAACAAAGAAGGCGAAACATGGTTCAAGTAATACTCTTGGTACAGTACATGTCATGGCGCGAAAACGTGGAATCATGTTACACTATAAACACGATCACAGTATACTGTCACGAACCGGGTTGTTGTCTGTTTCATTACATTCACTTGGCAGTATTCATTCCGAATCAATCAGGTTAAATTCTCGCTCGTCTCTATGAGCTCGGCAGCTAAATTATTCACTATGATGGAACCGTAACGCCAGTCACGATCACTTGTACTTTTACTCGTCACAGTGAGTTTCTACTCGTCTCACGCGTGATCCTAAACAAAAAACACGGTATCTAGTCGCGAACTCTTCTAGATGTCCCAGCTTTATTTATTGTCCAGTCACTAGAAACTCTCGGTTATGCGATGGCAAAATATTTCTCCTTACATTAGTATTGTGCTATTTGTTTCCCCATGGTGAATTTACTATAGCTTTTGCAGTGTGTGAAATAGTTTATCTAATATTTATGTGTACGTTTTTTTTATTGATAATTGATTCCTGCAAAATTGTATTTCATGATTTTTCCCGCGCATTTTTGCTTTACCATTTTTCCATAGTCTTGGAGGCCCCTAACTATAGGTCAAACTGTCGTCAAGCCAAATAAATCAGACTTCAAATACTCGAACTAGACTAGATCACACAGTTCACAGTCTCTCGTTTCAAGTTAACTACAACTAATAAAATACATACAGTTGTCTGGCCACGAATTCCTGATGTCACAATATACCCCATTCTCAAGATTCAGGCACATTTTGGTTTGAAAAAAAAGGGTTTACATTTGCATGCATGTGATAAAAATGACAAAATTCCTCATAGATTTGGGCACAAATTGTTAAATTTTCATGTTGTTTGTATTTTACTTTCTGTTTTGAAATTTTAAAAAGTGTCAGTCCGTTGTATTGTCCATCTTTATGATCACATTCCAACGTATCAAATATTTCCACCACAAGTCCACTACCCTCAATACATATATATCGGCCGAGGTCATGTGAATGGAAAACCAGTTTAATTGAATGTATGAATAGGGTGTACTGAGTATGTTTATTTTAGGGTGACACACACTAATATTAAATATTACATATCAACATCCGATTTTATATTTTACATTCAGGCGTTAATACTGTAAATACTCTGGATCACCGTCGGTAGCTGTTGGGGGTAAGCATATAATCGAGACTATAAATAGTGGAAAGGTGAATTATGTCTTGTTTAAAACATGTCAGTTAATATCAAGCCATTCCCTGCGTCATTTATGTTCCTATGACAGTTATTCATATAGATTGACACGTACACGACTCGTACATGCCGTCATCATATTCTAGAACTAAAGCCACGCTAACCGATTCGTGGCTTTGCTATTTGAAATGGAGATCGGAAAAATTGTTGACATTGAGTATATCAGTGTTCTTGTCAAACAGCCTTCTCACGACGAGATCAAATCCCGGTTTGCCCGAACGCACAGCACAGACAACTAATTTTCGTTACAGACAATGAAAAATGTGACTGTGCATAGCAAGTCATCATCATGTAGAAGCGTGGGAAAATAACTGACTGGATACATTGTTGATTTCGCTTGCCTTTGATCTATTATGACAGTATGACAGTATCCCCTAGCGCGGCAATGAAATAAAAAGCCTCAAATTGAAAATAGGATTTTGATTTTCGTTGTTCATGTTTCAAAATCCTATTTTCGAAAAGGCGATTTTACCACCACATGAATAACATAGAAAACTACACCTAAACTTTAACTTGTGATTTCTTGCCGCCAATTTATCAGTTGAAATTACGCATAAAAAATGTTAGATTACAGAACATATTAGAAATTCACTTAGCCGTCATTAGCCACGGAACCACTGAGAGAAATCCGTTCACTGAATTGAAAGAAAAACTGATACGATCCATCAATAGCGAACATCAAGAACAATCTGAATCACATCACTTAACGTGCCAATATCATAAAA